CCTGTTGGGGTTTGGGCGGCGGGAGCAGCCTGGGAAGTCCTGCGAGGCGGACAGAAGTGCTGGAGAGATCCCTCTGCCCCTCTCTGCCAGGCTCCGGGATCCCTGAACTCAAGACCATCCTGACTGGCGTCATCCTGGAGGAATACCTGGCCATTGAGAACTTTGGGGCCAAAGTCGTGGGGCTGACCTGCACGCTGGCTTGCGGGAGCACCCTCTTCCTCGGAAAAGTGGTACGTGTCCAGCGGGTGGGCTGAGAGGGGGGTCTCTTTTGCCTCCGAGCAGCGCCTCCATGGTCTGGGGTGTGTGTGTGTGTGTGTGTGTGTGTGTGTGTCAGCGTCAGCCTTGGGACACAGAAAGGAAGCTGTGGTGGTTTGGGAGGGAAATGTGTCCTGAGGGGCGGTTCTAGAGACAGGAAGTTGGGTGTCTGGACGGGGAGGCTTCAGCTACTGCTTCTGCCCCAGATCTGTCTAGTCTTGCCCACCTCCTCCTTAAAAAGAGCTGCTGCTGAAGGTGCCCGAGCCCAAGGGGGAAAAGTGGGCCTGGGTCCCTTCAGGCCAGGAAGGAGCTGAGGGGTTGAAGACCCCGCCAGGGTCAGTCCAGCAATCTGGGTGAATATAGAGCGGGGGGGGGGGAGAAATCTCCTTCCTAGAGACCTTCAAGGTCCAGCTGAGGTCAGGAGACGAGCCTCTCAGAAGCGGTGAATTGCTCCAACACTGGAGGTTTTTAAGAAGAGACTGGACAGCCATTTGTCTGAAATGGTATGGGGTTTCCTGCCTGAGCAGGGGGTTGGACTAGATGACCTCCAAGGTCCCTTCCGGCTCTATTCCTACTCTACTCTATTCCTACTCTACTCTACTCTACTCTACTGTTCTATTCTATTCTATTCTATTCTATTCTATTCTATTCTATTCTATTCTAACCAAGCAGAGAGGCAATCTGGAACTAAGGAGAAACTTCCTGACAGTGAGAACAATTAACCAGTGGAACCACCTGCCTCCAGAAGCGGTGAATGGTCCAACACTGGAAGTTTTTAAGAAGAGATTGTCTGAAATGGTATAGGGTTTCCTGCCTGAGCAGGGGGTTGGACTAGATGACCTCCAAGGTCCCTTCCAACTTTATTATTATTATTATTATTATTATTATTATTATTATTATTATTGTTATTGTTATTATTATTATTAGTATTAGTATTAGTATTTTATTTTATTTTTTTCTTTCCCTCTTCCTCCTACCCGGCTTCTGCAGGGACCCTTTGTTCACCTCTCCAGCATGCTCGCCGCCTACCTGGGCAAGATCCGGGCCAGCGTTTCTGGGGAGTATGAGGTACGGCTGAGGAGGGCTAGGCTGCACCCCAGGGGCAGCTGAGGACCCTGTGGCTGGCTAGAGGGGGGCCGAAGAGGGCCCCGCTGGGTTCCTGGGACCCCGCCTGGGGGTGGGGGGACTGGGCAGCCGCCTCAGCCTGCCTTTCCTCGGCCTAGAACAAGAGCAAGCAGAACGAGATGCTGGTGGCAGGAGCGGCCGTGGGCGTGGCCACCGTCTTTGGGGCACCCATCAGCGGTAAGACCTCACTTCCGTTTCTGGCCAAGTCCCCTTCGCCAAGGGAGTCCAAGGCAGGTTGGGGGCCAGACTCATAGATGCGGGGCTGACTCTGCCCTCCCCCCTCTTGCTGCTCCCCCAGGGGTCCTCTTCAGCATCGAGGTCGTGTCCTCCCACTTCGCCGTCCGGGACTACTGGAGGGGCTTCTTCTCGGCAACCTGCGGCGCCTTCATGTTCCGCCTGTTGGCTGTTTTCAATAGTGAACAAGGTGGGGAGTGGGGGGGGGGCAAAGGAGGGAGGCCTTGGC